CCAATATCTGGAGTCCGCAAAAGCCACAACAACCCGTTCATCTCTCACCAGCCACATCGACCGCGTTGTGCAACGCGCATACAATTAATAACACTTCGTTGCACAAGTTTCGCCCCAAAACAAAGTTCAAGGGCCATTGCGGGGGGGTGTTGTTGCATCTTTTCTTCCTCCTTTGCCAAGGAAACAGCATTGCCGTGTTTGACGAGGCCTTTTTTTTTCCCAGCGACAATGTCTGCACGCAAGCGCACCAACTCTGTCGCCGATAATGCAGACGAGCCGCCCATCGCCAAGCGGCGCTCGTCGCGACAAGCCGCAGTAGCAGCAGCAGCAGTTACGGCGTCCAAAGCCGCCTCAGTAGAGACGGACACGGCAGTCAAGTCGGACATGAAGAAGCAGAAGCAGCCTGTCAAATCGTCGTCAGCCCCGAGCAAGGCTCTCAAAAAGGCAAAGACTGGCGGCGGAAAGGGCAAGCAGGAGGAGGAACAGGAGGCAGCGCCGCAGCCGGTCAAGACCCTGAAAAAGGCAGCGGGCAAATCGGGCAAGAAGCAGAGTAAGGCCGAGGCTGCGGCGGCGGCGGCGGCCGAGGGGCAAGAGGACGGCCGGACAGGGTCGGAGGATCCGGACGTGGATGCGATACCGGCCGTGAATCCGGACGCGCCCAAGCACGAGGGCGAGTGGTACTGGCTGATGAAGGCGGAGCCGGAGACGCGCATGGAGAATGGGCACGATGTGCGCTTCTCGATTGATGATTTGAGGGCCAGGACAAAGCCCGAGGGCTGGGACGGTACGTTCAAACTTGCGATTAGGGTTCAAAGCTGCGGTAGCGGTTTCGCTAACATGTTTTTTTTTCTCTCTCTCCCTGCACAGGTATTCGCGCGTATCCCGGTATGAAGATGATTACTTTTCCTCTTTTTTTTTTTTTTTTCTGCTCTGGTTTGTTTTTTTACTTGAAAGTACTGACGTGCTCTTTTATTATAGCGCGTAATAATATGAGAAATATGAATGTGGGCGACAAGGCCTTCTTTTACCACTCCAACTGCAAAGAGCCTGGCATTGTCGGCATCATGGAGATTGTCAAGGAGTTTTCCGAGGACAGTAAGTTGGACGTGGCTTTCTGACAAAGCACTTTGGTCCCTACTCTTTTCCATCTTTTGCGGATTTTTCTCTGCTTTTTCCTCTTCTTCTTCCTCTTCTTCTTCTTCTTTTCCTGACTGTTATTCCCCCCTTCCTCTACAATGTTCTAACTGCGATACCAGAGAGCGCCAGACGTCCCGGAACGCCCTATTACGACCCTTCCTCAACCAAGGACAAGCCCAAGTGGGATCTGGTGCACGTTGAATTTCGGAAAAAGTTTGCCGTGCCCATCTACCTCAAGGAGCTGCGCAAACTGGGTGAAGCGGGCGGGCCACTGGCGGAAATGCAGATGCTCAAGCTGGGACGGCTGAGCGTGAGCAAGGTGAGCGCGGGGGAGTGGAGGGCGCTGTGTGAGTTGGCGGATGAAAAGGCAAAGGAGGCGGGTTTAAAACACGAGGAATAATGGAATGCCGATGACCATTGTTTTGTTTTTACTCATGTGGGCTGTTTGATGTTCTTTTATGAGGGGAGAGTGTCGGTCTGTGGTCGTGTAGCCTTTCAATATATAGCCGATTGACTTATTCGCAGTGCATATTGTCAAGTTGACCCAAGTATATACCTGTTTTGAGGTGATCAGATCGCTATTCAATATTAAGAGGATACTTCTGCATGTCACAAAACAGAGTTTCCATTAAAAACAAAGCACATGTCATAGATAGATCACCCACCTACATTTCTACTCTATTCTAGGCTTGAACCTGTACAGTGATTTATACTGTGCGCAGGGTCATCCGGGCACCGTTTTAGCGCAGTGTGGCTTGGCGGGCCAACCGGGCCTCAGCTCAGCCCCTGTCTTGATGTCTGGGCCAAGCCGCTCAGGCATTATTTCCACGCCACAAGTCCCGCCAAATTCTGTCCTCTGCGGCATCCTTCCAACCGCCCGTCCAAGCCCATTCCCTATCGGCGCGCACGACTTTGCTTTCTTCTTTCCATTCATTCTCATTCGTTGCTTCTCTCCCTCTGTCCAGGAACTGTCGTTTATTAGTCTTCTTCAATTCGCATACTTCCCTTTCAAGCCGTTGACGATATTTGCTTCATCTTTCGGGCCCCTCGGCGACGCTTCAGGGACGAACTCGTATCTTCACATTTCCAGCTCCACAGCGCCCTCTCGGTTTCATCCATCATATTGTCTTGGCTTCAAGTAACTCGCGTCATACTTACTCAAGCCGCTGCTTTGTATGAATTTCGGCGGGGAGCTTGCACAAATTTATATAACCAACTACTTTTGTAAACTTTGGTTCCCCCCCCCACAACTCATCTCACTGGCTGAGAGATTGATACCTCCCGTTCTTCATACCTTTATATTCACTACATCATCATGAGGATAAGCTGGGGGCTTGGCCTTGGTCGAGTCGAATCCGTCGACTACTATGCCGGCGTTCTTGTGCCTCTGGACGAGGCTCACCTGCACAGCCACTCGGCCCGGACCGGCCGCGTGGAATTCGAGGCTCGCGACTTTGAGCTCGACGACGACGACGACCAAGACGAAACCGGCGCCGCCAAGGATCGCGGCGACGAGGAGCGCGAGGGTATGCTTGAAATGGACGCCGCCGAGTACAGCATCGACGGCCTGCGCAAGGCCATGCGCGACGGCCGTCGCGGCCAGTGGAGCGAGTATGAGATCAAGTCCAAGCTCATCAACAAGGCCATCCAGGACATTGGCATGGGCTCCTACAACTGGCAGCTCTTTGTTCTCTGCGGCTTCGGCTGGTTCGCTGACAATCTCTGGCTCCAGGGTGTCTCGCTGACGCTGCCTTCGCTGTCTGCCGAGTTTGGGATTGACGAGAAGACGGTGCGATATACCACCAGCGCCTGCTTTGTCGGCCTGTCCGTGGGCAGCTTCCTCTGGGGCATTGGATCTGACTTCTTCGGTCGCCGTATAGCCTTTAACATGACGCTGCTCATCACCAGCGTTTTCGGTGTCTTGGCTGCCTATGCGCAGACGTGGGGTGGCGTCTGCTTCTTCTTCGCGGCCTTTGGCTTCGGCGTCGGAGGCAATCTGCCCGTCGACGGTGCCTTGTTTCTCGAGTTCCTACCTGATGCGTCAAGTTCACTCCTCACACTATTGTCCGTCTGGTGGCCCCTTGGCCAGCTCGTTTCGTCTCTTGCAGCCTGGTATTTTATTGCCAACTGGCCCGTTGAGCAAGGTTGGCGCTACTTTATCGTCACCATTGGCATCGCCACTTTTGCCATGTTCATTGTCCGCTTCTTCGTCTTTCACCTTCTCGAGTCGCCAAAGTTTCTCCTCAACAAGGGTCGCCAGAACGAGGCCGTGGCAGTCATTCACGGTCTTGCTTACAGAAATGGCTGCAAAACATGGCTTACATCCGACATTCTCGACGAGGTTGCCGCCGAGGACGACCAGCGCGCCGAAGGCTCATCTGCCCAGCAAGCATTCAGATCTGCTCCCACCAAGAGCGTTCTCATGACCAAGCTAAAGGGGTTCTCTACCGACACAATCCGGCCTCTATTCCAGAACAAGACGCTTGGTCTCGCCACTGCTCTCGTTTGGTTTTGCTGGGCCAGCATCGGTATGGGCTATCCACTCTTCAACGCCTTCTTGCCCCAATACTTTGCCCGCACCAACGGGAATCAAGATGGCGGCGTGCAGTCGGAGACGTCTGCCATCTCCAATACAACCTACCGCAACTACGCCATCACCTCCATCATGGGCCTGCCTGGCAGCCTTCTTGCCGCATATCTCGTCGATCACCCTTCGCCGTTCCTCGGCCGTCGTGGAACTCTGGCCGGCTCCACCCTGCTCTCTGCCGTTGGCCTCTTCTTCTTTGTCCTGTTTGGCACCACGCCCACCTCGCAGCTCTTCTTTTCTTGCGTGGAAGCCTTTAGCCAAAACATCATGTACGGAGTCTTGTACGCCTTTACGCCCGAAATCTTTCCCGCGCCGGTGCGTGGGGCGGGCAGTGGCGTAGCCAGTTTCCTGAACCGCGTGACGGGCCTCATGGCTCCCTTGCTGGCCGCCAACATGCCCGGTGACAGTGCGAGCACACCAATATACCTGTCTGCCGTGCTTATTTTATCTGCATTCGTCGCCATGTGCCTGATTCCTATTGAGACGCGAGGCGCACAGCGTCTATAAGCACTCTCTTTCTTGCTCTATAGTCCAAATGGCCATGGATCATTTTCTCATATATATATGCTTATGATTGAGTTGTAAAACATTTGGGCTTCCTTGCTCACGAGTACATGTATAATAGATGAAAAACACTCACAGCGCGGATTTTCTTGATTCCTGTTTATCTTTCTTGTTTGGGGTCTATGTTTGTCTACCAATACAAACTTCTTTGATAGATTACATCCAAGTCACGACGCTATGCTCATTATCCCGAAACGGCCAGTCCAAGTCCGTCTTCCATCTTCGATCCCATCGAGCTATGCAAGTCTACCTCGAAAACATCTATCTATTCCCCTTGGCGCCTACAGGCGCATCCACGCGCCTCTTTCTAAACGACTGGCCCAGCGCATCCTTGACCATTGGATCCGACCGAATCGTGTTATTGATCAGCCAGTCGCGCATCTTTGCGCGCATCTTGCCCGCCATGTCCTCGTCGCCCTTGAACGGCGTGAGCTCCATATCAATAAGCCTCGCCGCGTCAGCGTCCAGCTGTCTGGTGAGCCCCTCGAGCCGCAGCAAGCCGTCCCGCATCGCCTTGTCCTCGTCCTCGACGCCCTTGTCCGCCGCGGCGGAGGGGGTAACCACCTGCGCGAGCACAATCGGGCCAATCTGCGAGAGCGCAATATACACAGTCAGCGTGACTTTGCGCGCGAGGTGCACGAGCTCAAACGGCAGATACGGGGGCAGGCCGGCGACGCGGCCGAGCACGGCGTTGAGGGCGCGCAGCGGCGCGGGAAAGGCGGGCCGCGTCGCGACCGTCACCTCGAGCAGGCACAGCGCGACGAGCAGCAGCCAGCGGTAAAACTTGGCAAAGTCCATGTAGCCGACGAGGCCAAAGGCGTACACGGTGGCGGCGGCGAGGCCATAGTACGGCAGCACGTTGTACACGACGCCGTGCGTCACAAAGTCGCGGACAGTGACGCACCGCGGCCACGCGAGCATCGCGGGGCCGAAGCGCTCGTAGGCGTACCGCTTCGCCGCGTCCTGCAGCGTGTCGCTCGCCGTCTTGAGGTGCATAAAAAACGCCGACGAGGCGTCGGCGTCGCTGCGCCCGGGACCCAGCTTATCCGGGTGGTGCAGCGCCGCGAGCCGCCGAAACCGCGACTTGATGTCGCGGTCGGCGGCCGTCACGGGGATGCCGAGCTCCGTGTAAAACGAGGGCGCAGAGCGCAAGTCGTAGTTGGCCTCGAAGATGGTGTACAAGAGGTACGACGCCACGACGAGGATGTGAATCGTGTTGCGGTGCGAGGTGTGTCGCGCGGAGCCCGGCGCGGGCTTGGGGTCGCCGGCGCGAATCGTCAGACCGTAGTAGATGGTCTGGATCCAAGACGTCGCAATCTATTTGTGTGTTTTTAGCAGAGCGAAACAAGTGAGATGTTATTCGGGGTAAGCAGGCTTGGGCGCGTAAGGTAGGGAGCCGCGCCCTGCATGGATGGGGTTTTGCAGATTAACGTACGCCAGGGAGAAAGGCCCAGCCCACGATGGAGAGGAACTGAGACATTTTTTTTATATGAGGAGATTTCTGCAGCTCTCTGAGCAGTTGCGTTATTTAGAATTGCGCAGCATGCGCGCAGGACCGTGGCAGTTGAAAGGTACAAAGAGCGGCGGCTACATTGAATAGTGAAAGGACAAGTGTTCCAGCGCAAGTGTCCGTATTGGTCCCGCCCGTTGGTGCATGACTGCCATGACAACCTATGACGTACCAGCACCAGTCAGCGTTGTCATTCTTATTAAATAATTTGAAGATTAATGATACTCTTCCTGGACATAAACAAATTTAATTGGTCAGGGTAACGTAAAGCCTCGAAATGAAGAAGGAAATTATAAAATACATCGATGAAGTAGCGGGAAAGAAAAAGTGTTTGCAAGTCATGTCACCTTCAACCTCCCATAGCATTGCCTGTTTGCTCAACCCAGCTGACCTTCATCTTGAAACTCCGTCCTTTCGAATAATATAAGCGTAGAGTCATCGTATAATATGAAAGCCCCAGTTTCACCCGTTGCTCAAGATTTGCTCCCGAGTTGCGGCCAGGTGAACTACGTCAAGTATTGTCCAAATGTTGTTTGTATAACGCCGGCGGCCAACGAAACGTTACCGATCATGATATCCTCACAAAAATCCCTACCCCCCCAATATATCCTCTATCTGCGTCCCCTTTTTAGCGTTAGATGTGGCCACTCCATGTTCCCCAGCTCAGCCAAAGCTGGCCTTCCACTTCTCCCAGAAGCGGCCTGATTCAACCTCGCAGCTCTCGGGGCCAATGTTTGAGCAGCCAGCGAGCATGACGACAAAGTCACCCTCCTGATATTGTTCACCGAGCGTTGGCTTTGAATAAGAAGCAAACGTGCGCTGAGGAACAAGAGCCAGTTTCGACAAAACCGTAGGGTGCCACTGCACAATGTGTTCCTGAATCAATGCGTCAGCTAGTGCGTTCGCGCTTCACTTGCAAGTTGTCCTTACCAAGGCATGTCTCTCAGCTTTTTGAAAGTTGTAGGTTCGGTAAAGAGGATCCAGCCAGGTTTCGAGGAAAAACTTGGCCCATTCTCCATTGCGGATAATGATGCTGTTGTGTACAAGTCCAGATTTGTCCTGTGATAGAATGACATCGATATGCTCTCCACGAAGATGACCATATGTCTTGATAATGCTGTCCGGTGGCACAACAGGTTGACCGCGGATCATCAGTGATTCCAGCTGCTTCGATTGCAGCACAAGATCCTCAAGCGACTGTGTCGGGTTCATGATGTAGGCATCCTGGTCAAGGTACCAAACAAATTTGCAATCCGGGTATTTCGCAAGCGCATGGCGCGTGGCCATGAGTTTCGTCCAGGTAGTAGGAGCTCCTGCGGTGTCATATTGGTTTGCTTCGGTGATGATCGTCTTGTAGCCTGTTTCGCGGTGTGAGTTGCTCGTCTGGTGGCTGGGGTATGAATCTGCGTTTTGGGATTAACATACCATGTCTTGAGGCATACTCCTCTCTATTCTCGCGGACAGTCTTTAGATATCCAGCGCTGTACTGCTTGGTATCAAGAACAGTGACCAAAACGACAGGCGGCGTCCCAGCGGGCTGGCGTTCATGGTATGGACTCTGTTTGCTAGGCTTGAAAATCAAGTACAGCACCAATATGCATGCCAACAGTCCAACAGCAATTGTTCGTAAGCGCCCCCGGCGGAGGGTAGGCAGTTGACCGGATCTTGGGCGGAATGGCGGGGGGGTCGAGCTTTTGCGCGGAGGGTAGGCAAAATGCATTGTGAGTTTGTAAGAGCGCCCACCGAGTGGACTGGCTCAAAGTCAAGACTATCTCCAAACAATTTGGTTTACAGTAGAGCGAGCGACCCAGCCGTGTCCGTCGTCGCAAATTCGGTGATTCGGAAGCGTTGTCCAAATTGAGAGGCTTGGAGACCCTGAAGTAACGAGTGACTGCTGTAAAAGCACCGTAGATCTGAATATGTTCAAAGAAAAGTGTCGCCAAGTGCAACTCGCAAGAACACGTTGTCTAGGGCCCTGTGAGCGAAATGCTGCGTCTTCTCCGGCCTGCGCGTCGATGGCGCGATTTGCGTAGACGGGAGAGAGATGATTCGATAAATAAGGGTCCAATAAAAGATTCAAGAGCGAGAAGTGCCAGTCGCATACGCAACACAACGTGCTGTATATAGAAGCACCCCTGAAAAGCTATGGGAAAAGCCTGTCAGCTCGATGAGCGAGAGAATTAGGCTTGTGCTTGACGACTCGAAGAAAGTTGCTCTCGACCCCTTGACGCTGCCCTCCATTTGAGCCACGTTCTGCTCGGCACCGGCTCCACAATGCGCCGACCCATCTTTTGCGCTCCTTTTTCTGTCAAATCTAATCTAAATACGCGCCGCGAGCAGGGTTTTCGCATCCGCTTACTTGCGGAGATATAATATTACTGTATTAATAATGGGTTCAAGTTTACGGGTTCACATTTTGCGGGAAACTAGCAGAAACTGGTGCGGTGAAGGAGCCGGCGTGCACTCATTGAGTGTATACACTAAAATGCAGAAATCTAATGTGCCGCCAAAATTCCAATTTTAGCGCCACAGGCGTTCGTGAGGGAGAAACATATACCAGCTCGTGCTGAGCAGTCTACCCAGATGGGTTGTATTGGTGTGTACAAGGTAGATCGCTACGGCGCAGAATGCAGAATGCATCCCTTACCTAGGCAACGGGCTGATCAGCTCCATCTCGCTGAAGAACGTGAAAGCCAAAACGGCTTCCAATTCAAGCATCGATGGGACATCAATCTTTGCACACAGACTAGTTGGCTTGATGCGGAAGAGCAAACTTCGAGACAACTTAAGAGTGTGCAGGCACTGCAGTCGGGCCACAGTGAAAGAAGAGGCATGTCACATTGATGATGGTGCAAACACGCAAACAGAGTAGAAGGTCTTGCCATTCTTTCTATGAGCCAGAATAACGATAACGAGCCGGGTTGCATGCCTCGAGCTCTCCTGTAGAAACGGTTTCATTCATAATGTTCATCTCACCTTAGTCTTCGTCCACATCAATAACTCGGTCTCGCATGTGCAAGAGAACGCGCGCGCTGAGTGACCGGACGAGTTTCCAGATGCCGTTCAAAGCTGCGAATGCGCCCAAGAGCACAAACATGAGGCTGAGGTTCTCAACACGACCGCGTCCCGTACCGCGGCGTCGACCACCCCCACCAAGGCCTGTCCCTCGTAACTGCCACCAATGCCATGGTGACATGAACAGCGCCGATTTGATCAGGCCGACAATTCCTAAAGAGAAGAAGCCCTTGACGAAATGCTCTATCCATGTTGGCGGTTCTTCGAATGGTGAATCCCAGTTGTCTTCGTCAGCAGTCAATGCGTCACCGATCGTGCCGATAGGATCGAGCCACAAGTTGAATACCGGATCAGCGATGAAGCCCAGGATGAAAATGCCAACCGCAAACAGCAGCAGAGTCAACAAAGCCTGTGTAATCTTGCTGCTCAATAGCGATGCCCAGTCAAGTCTTGTAAGCTGATATTTGTAGCCACATGTCGGGCAATGCCAAAAATTTCGGTCCTGCAACGGACTCGCAGCCCGCCACGCGTGCAAACAGCCTTCGTGGACATATTTCTGCGTTCCTTTGCACTTGCACGGCGACAGCAGTCGTCCCAGGGTCGGGTCCTCGGAAACATAAGTCGGTCGGCCCGTTTGTGATGCATCGGCGTACTGTGGCTCTACCGTATCAAAGCAAATTCGACAAGTGCGCGGGCCGTAGCGGCGGCGGTTCTCAGCTTGCGGCGGTTGGTCAGTTGTGTTCCGCTGTCGTGCCTCACTGTCTCCTGTGGAGTGGTCTCCCATCGCCGAGCTCCAGCTCCAGGATTGAGGTTCCATTGTGTGTGCGCTGCCCGTCTATAGGGTGCACGCTAGAGAGCGTTGATGGTTGCAAAACTGTGCCAATGATGAGGTGTCTGCCAATCGACGGCTACACGAGGGATGCTTCCCATAATATGCTGTCAATAAGGGAGGTACCAGGGAGCGGCACCGCGGCCATCGTTTTCAAAGACGCTGTGGCATCACAAGCGGGTGGGATGACAGCTGAAAAAGCCACCTCATCAATATTTCGCCTTGTAAAAAATCCGCGGCGGAACAAATAAGTGTCCGCAGTTACCGCAGCTTGGGGGAAGAGCTCCGTTCTCAGAGTGGATCGGGGTTCGGCAGAACTTATTTTCCGGCCTCACTCCAGCGAGCTTGACGCGCAGGTCATCGTGCCTGGAGCTACAACGCAGACAGAGCTCCCCAGCCTAGTACTCGCCCTTCAAACAGCATCAATTCGTCCAAAAACATCACGATTTGCGGACCCTCGACGAAATTCACAATACCCGATACCTGTCGAAGCTATGGCAGACAGATATTCCTTCTCCCTCACTACATTCTCGCCCAGGTAAGCCATCCCAACCAAGTCTCGATGGTGCACAACTAACCTCTGGACAGCGGCAAGCTGGTACAAATCGGTACGTCCAGGCGACTGGACTCGTCTCAACTCGAAATATTTTCTAAACATCGAGTCATGACTGCGCTCAGATGAGTGTTGCTAATTGTGCGCATAGAGTATGCCTTGAACGCTGTCAACCAAGGCATTACCGCCCTAGGAATCAAAGGTGTGTGACTTGAGCTAGAATTCGCAAACCATGCATGCTAACCATGCTCAGCTACGAACGGCATTGTCCTCGCGACCGAGAAGAAGTCCTCCTCTCCCCTCGCCGATCAGAGCTCGCTTTCCAAGATCAGCAACATTACGCCCAACATTGGCACAGTATACTCTGGCATGGGCCCCGACTACAGAGTGCTGGTTGACCGCGCACGCAAAGTTTCGCACACCGGATACAAGAGAATCTATAACGAGTACCCTCCCACGCGCATATTGGTTCAGGATGTTGCTCGCGTCATGCAGGAAGCTACCCAGTCTGCCGGTGTTCGGCCGTATGGCGTCAGCATGCTGATTGCTGGCTGGGACGATGGCATCGAGCCCGAGGATGCCGAGGAGGTCAAGTCCGATGACGGCGAGAAGAAGGCCAACAAGAAGACGGGAGGTATTCTCAAGGGCGGTCCGATGCTATACCAGGTCGACCCTACAGGCAGTTATTTCCCGTGGAAGGCGACGGCCATCGGCAAGAGCGCGACCAAGGCTAAGACGTTCCTGGAGAAGAGATACTCGGAAGAGTTGGAGCTTGAAGACGCCATTCATATTGCGCTTTTGACTCTCAAGGATAATATTGAGGGTGAAATGAATGGCGACTCTATTGAAATAGGTATGTTCTCAACGTGGACTAGTCGCAACCTATGCTAATCCTTGTCAGGCATCGTCGGCCCTCCTGCCGACCATCTGCTAGGTCTCGAGGGTGTCGAGGGCGCCACTGGCCCTCGATTCCGCAAGTTGACACCGCAAGAAATCGAGGATTACCTGACGAGTCTATAAACGCAGACGGGCTGGAGGGCGAGAATTAACTATCGTTGTACATTAGACAGTCGTCGGACTCGGCGCCGGTTTGATCCATGTAGTCTGCCAAGATGAAGTCCACATGCCTGGTATTCTAGCCCATTGGCGGCAGTCTCTGCTAATTTGCTGCCAGACTTGATGAGACTAGCATGAATGATGTGTGTGGCCCGGCCGCGACTCCAGTGACGACAGCGTTCTGGGGTGGACTAAATTCAAGCTTAATCCACGTACGGACCGACATGACAGATGGAATGCCTAGTTGCCCGCTTTCATTGTTGCCTATGACGTATACATCTCCTTGCTTTGTGAGAGCGATGCCGTGGGTTTCGCCCAGTGCAATATCCGCAATGTCTTTCCCACCCCCGATTTCGGTATAGTTTGGAAAGCGAGAGAGGCCTGGGAAGAATGGCAGCTCTTTGGCTCTCGACTGTGGATGTTGCCCCCATATGTAGACACTACCCGACTTTGTGAGGGCTGCAGCTGTATAACCGCACGCTGTAATGTGCTGCACCGGGTCTCCTAGTGTATCGAGATCAAGCAGTGTGAAAAGCTCTTCCGCGGGCCTGGCGCATCCCGCAGTCAGTAAAGACGACGATTCATTCTCGAAGGCAGTTGACGCACTCATCTTCGGAAATCATGCGACCGAGGACATGGGGGAAGCGTGCGTCTCCCATGGTAGCGACGGTGCCGTCTTCGTATAGCAAAACAAAAGCCGTGTCGAGCGCCGCAATTTGCTTGACGGGCTTTTGAGCGTACATCTTGTCCGTGTTCACTGCACCCCCTTTGCTGATGGAGATTTCAAAAACTGAGCTGCCAATGGGGCGGAGACTGTCGCCATTTGCCCGCATGACGAATGAGGCGGCTTTGGGGGCCATGGTTGGATCGGGGAAATAGCCAGCGATGAGAAACTTGTCATCATTTTGAACTGCAAAGGGTATGAGGAAATTAGACGATGGTAATTTCTGATATGAAGAATACAAACTCAGCGTGTACGCTAGCCTAGAAACAGGCTTTTGCAATGTCTGTCCAACTGCGATCTTGGTGAACTCGGTCAAATCATCTGAATTACTAGGAAGGAATGTGTCAAATTCGAGCTGCGCCCAGGCGTTGCAGCCCGCGGCGAATAGTTCCATATCAGGAGTGGCTTCTTTTATTTGTGCGGACATGAGTATAGAGATGACGACGAGCTATTCGAGTTGTTTTATCATGGTAGAAGCTGGTTGGCGACGTATGAACCCTTTACAATTGTAGCGCGCCTGCGCCTGCTGGCTATTTTAGTTGGTTAAGACTCAAAGACGCACTGTGTGGGCGGGCGACAGCATATGGTAGTTGAACAACATCGCGCGGCGGGTATCTAGAAAAATGATATCCAGCGCTTAGTTTTTCAGGCTCCGTTTCTCAGTGCTAACACTGGGCGCTGATAAGTCCAGAGGACCCTCATACATACGCTGGCTGGCCACCTGGCAACTGATGACCAACGAAGGTACCTACCTACGGTAACGTCTTATTAGTCGCAGTGAATTTAGTGCTTCACAGGGCGACTACTGCGTCCCTTGTGATTTAATAATACCAGAATTTGACATTCAAAGAAAGAAATAAAGTTTCCGAAACATTGTGCTTATAACTCTAGAAACAAAAATCACACCAAAGTACGACGCTGTTTTCTTTCATGCCCAATGTCGATTACACCAAACGGGCAGCCAAAACAGTATCATCCATCCGCCCACACCATGCAGATTTCCGACCGCCTTCGCCGAGCAAGCGCTCTGTCACGACTCACGATTCACGATTCACAACGGCCTCTTGGCAGCACAGGGGACTCGGACTTGTTCAACTGAAGCTCCTCTCACTTCCTTTCTTTCACCACCCACTTTGTATATATTTAAGGCTCCTATTTTTCCTGCTGTCAATGTCCTTCACAATTACTATCGACCCAGACCCCGAAAATCGGTTATTCTCCCTAGCATCGATGCCGTACCTGCCATCCTGCTTTACAAACTGAACTTTGGGTCTGAACATATTCCTGTCCATTCTGTGCTCACGGGACGCTTCCAACCATGTTGATTTGTTGATGGCTTTCCACGGCCAAATTTGCACGACCACACACCCCCGCTCGCTGCTGCCTGAATCAGGCTATCCTCGAAAGAAAGGGCAGCGGCCACTGTAGCTATCATATTTTCGAGCTCGCAAGCCACAATGGATAATTCGGACACGGCAAACGCCGATCATGTCGATGCAATTATGGACAACGCCCAAGTGATCAGTTCCCGCTCTTCGAGAGCTTACCAGCTCGAGATGCTGCGACGAAGCCTCAAAGACAATGTCATCGTTGCGATGGATACGGGAAGCGGGAAGACGCAAATTGCCATTCTTCGAATACGGGCGCAACTTGAGTCCACTTCAGATCAAAAGGTCATTTGGTTTCTGGCCCCAACAGTTCTACTCTGCGCTCAGCAGTTCGATGCCATCAAGCTCGAGATACCCTCAATATCTATGCGCTTGGTAGTCGGAAGCGACAATGTTCACACTTGGAGCTCATCTACATGGAAGTCCCTTCTAAATGGGACTCAGGCAGTCGTGTCCACATACCAAGTTCTGCTGGACGCCTTGGATCATGCTTTTGTCAAGCTGGACCGCTTGTCTTTACTGATTTTCGATGAAGGTCAGTCTACCACTGCAAAATATACCTAATGGCTAACATTGAACAGCACACAACTGCGTCGGATCCAACCCTGGTGGAAAAATCATGAAGCACTTTTATCATTACCAAGGACTACGTCAAGATGCCGACGATGGGTCCAATCGACCTGCAATATTAGGTCTCACGGCTACGCCAAGCATGAAGGCTCACATCAAAGGCGTCGAGAAGCTCGAGCAGGTTTTAAACGCAATATGCGTTTCTCCCTCGCTTCATCGCGAAGAATTATTAAAGCACGTCAAGCGACCACAGCTGAGAATCATTGAATGCGAAACCGCTGCCACGGAGCACTTTACAGAAACCATGTCTTCATTGCACCAGGAATGCGCGAAGATGGACATTCTAGAGGATCCCTATGTTGTCTCACTTTGCGCTCAAAATGACGACAGAAGCAAGCGTTGTCTCGCGAAAGTTCTGATTGATGAGAAAACCTGGTCGCGACACCAGCTATCCAGCCTCCTGAGCCGGTCTCGAATCATTCGACAGCTACTGGGCCCTTGGGCGGCAGACTTTTACATCTGGAAAGCTAAGCGCTCATTCCTCCAGAATGTAAAATCTACGGTCCCAAGTTTGGATGGCTGGGTTCCGGAAGAAAAGCTCTACGTCGCAAGAATTTTGCAGGACGTTGCGGCTCTGGAGCCAGCACCCCGCCCGATCGGCTACGACAGCATCTCAGACAAGGTTGGCTTATTGCTGCGCGAGCTCATAATGCACAAAGGAGATGTCACTGGGATCATATTTGTACAGGAACGCGCTACCGCTGCTGTACTCGCCGCGCTTCTTCACTCGATACCGAAGATTCGGGAGCGGTATCGTGTGGGATGTATGGTCGGGACCTCACACAATCACCTTAGAAAAGCCAGCCTGTATGAAGTGCTCGACTCCAGTGATTGCAAAACTTTGCAAGACTTTCGAAGAGGAGAGGTCAACCTCCTCGTGGCAACCTCGGTTCTGGAAGAGGGCATCGACATACCAGCATGCAATCTGGTCATTTGCTTCGATAGTCCGAAGAACCCAAAATCCTTCATCCAACGCCGCGGGCGGGCCCGGATGCAAGACTCCCAATTGATCATTTTCACCCACCAAGGTCATTCACTAACAGATCACTGGGCGATTTTTGAAGATGAAATACAAAAACTGTGCCAGGATTCCGAGCGCGAACGGCAGCAGTTGCAGACTCTGGAGCGTCTAGACGAGGATGTCGACTTTTGCTTTCGGGTACCACATACTGGAGCTCGTCTTGACCCTGAAAATGCTAAGCAGCATCTGGAGCACTTTTGCCGTGTAATATCTTCACAAGAATATACGGATGGTCGCCCAGATTATATCACCAAGTTCACGTCAGGCGACCACGACCACGACCAGCTGGTCAGCGCCGAGGTCTTCCTACCTGCTTCACTGCCAACCAAGCTCAGACACTTTCAATCATTGCGCTCTTGGAGATCAGAAGCCAACGCTATGAAGGATGCTGCTTTTCAGGCTTACTTGGCTCTCTACCAGGCTGGTTTGGTAAATAAGAATCTACTACCACTGGAGACGAACATTGACTTTGACGTCGAATCTCGAGCTCCAATCATCCCTGTCGAGCCATTATTCGATCCATGGACTGAAATCGCATCTGCTTGGTCGCAAGGGGATTTCAGATGGACTTACACAGTTCAGTTTCAGGATGCGGATGAGGCGTTGTTTGGAGTCTACAATTTGACGCTGCCCATTGAGCTTGGGCCGTTGCGCCCGATCGATCTATATCTCGACTACAGTACGATGTGCAAGCTGGTCTTTTCGCCTCCGCAGCGCATCTTGACATCTCAAGCGGACGAAATGGCAGATGATACGTCAACACTCATCGCACTGCACTACTGCCATCGCTGGGATGGCTGGCCAATGACGGCAGGATCCCATGTCATCAAGTTGACTTCACACGACGGTTCGCTGAGCCTGAACGACATTGGGAACCAACCATTTGATGCAAATTCATCTGCTGTTGCAAGCGGAAACTATTTGATCAGAGATAGAAGAAGCAAAACACCGTCCAGGTATATTGGGGACCTCTCGTCAAAGCCGCCTGTTGAGATGGTTCAAAAGCCCTTTCGGTATTACGCCGACGCACCGGATGAACCTTATTTAAACTTGATGCGATGGACTCGCCGTTCTGATTTTCTTCACTTGATTGCTGTTGATCCCGAGACACAAAGAGCAAGCCAAAAGCAGTACATTACTGTCCTTCCAGTGTCCTTTGCTACAGTGGATAGCATTCACATAAAACACGCCCGGTTCGGCATGCTGATACCATCGATTATCCATACGATTGAAACGATGCTCATTGCGCGACATCTTTCCGTCACATTGCTCAAGCCGCTAGAATTGACAGACTATTCATTGGTCAGAGACGCGATCAGTGCCAGAAGCGCATATGAGCCAACAAACTACGAACGGCTGGAATTCCTCGGTGATTCCATTCTCAAGTTTTGTGCTAGCATGCAGGCTGGTGCAACAAGTAAGACTCTCAATCAATCAATTTCCCCTTTCGTTAGCTAACATCCCTTTCCCAGATTTGAGTTGGCCTGAAGGATATCTCACTAGGTACAAGGATCGCCTGGTGGCCAACTCGAGGCTCTCGCGTGCTGCCGTGGAGACTGGTTTGGCAAAATTCATCTTGACAGTACCTTTTACAGCTCAAAAGTGGCACCCGTTTTTCCTCGAGACTATCTTGTCAGGTAAAATGAAACCGTTTAAAAAGCGGGAAATGTCGACAAAAGTGCTTGCCGATGTTGTTGAGGCGCTGGTTGGCGTAGCCTATATCGCGGGCGGTATCCCCAAGGCCATCCAGTGTCTGTCGATATTCATCAACGAGTGCGATTGGATAGACCCTAGTGAATGTAGGGAGGAATTCTTTGCCTGTGCGCCGAGCCACTGTGTCGACTCCTCATACTTGCATATCCTTGAGGAGCTCATTGGCTATTCATTCACAAAAAAGTCTCTTCTTCTAGAGGCTACAACACACGCATCGTACATTGGCGACATTTCTGGCCGGAGCTGGGAGCGCTTGGAGTTTCTCGGCGATGCGGTTCTCGACTACATGATTGTTTCGAAGCTCATGAACCGCAGTCCACCATTACCACACTCCAGGATGCACATGATCAAGACGGCCATGGTCAACAAGGATTTCCTGGCTTTTCTGAGCTTGGAGGAGCATGAGTTGTCGCAGACTGAGTCTTTTGTCACGGAAGACGGGGTAGTCCTTACAACGAACAAGCGCAGTGCTCTCTGGCGCTTCATAAGACACTCGTCCAGCGGCATCGGCCCAGCCCAGTTGGAGACGGCGAAGCGGCATGAAAATCTGCGTCTCGAGATTCTGCACGAGCTTCACCACGGAACTCATTACCCTTGGCACATACTCCTCAAGCAGCAAGCGAGCAAGTTTTACTCGGACCTGTTCGAGGCTCTGGTTGGCGCTATATGGGTGGACTCGGGCTCGCTGGCGACGTGCGATGCGTTTCTCCGGCGCATCGGCATGCTGCCGTATCTGGAGCGCGTCCTCGCCGACAGCTTGCACATGCAGCATCCAAAAGAGGAACTCGGAGGGCTGGCGCAGGCCCGCAGCCAGTTGTACGAGGTTGAAGAGGTCAAGGGAGGCGATGGCAGGACAACTTACAACTGCAGGCTGCTTATTGGGGGGGTCGAGGTCGGTGCTGAGCTCGGGGGCCAAACAGCGGAGGAAGCGAGAGTGGGAGCTGCGACAAAGGGCGTTGCGCACCTCAAGGCAGAGGCGGCAATGCAATCACAGGACAGAGTGAGCGGAGACTAATCAGGCAATCGTACAGGGCTTTGCGATTTGGACGCGAGAGAATTGCGTGAGAGGGTTGCGTGCATTGTTTCAGATGATGATCCAAAAACGTTCAAAGTTGCTTACATGTTCTATTATTCGAGCATTTTCATGATTTTTCTCAGAAGCCTGTCGAATTCAAATTTGAATCTTCTTTCATCATTGACTACGTCTCAGTTGTGCCTCTGTAGCTCGGTCAAGATGCTGTCTACCATCCACTGCAGCGTCTCTGCCATGTCAGGATCCAGAGCACCGCCCTTTGGCACCACTATGCCCTCTTTCTGTAGCACCTCTTGCCTGTACTCGCCCTCGACGTCTCCATTCTCAAACAGCCACGCGTGCTCCTTGACGTAGTTTGGCCACACGACATCATCCACGTAACCCGGAGGATCCTTCCAGAAGCCCTCGAGCGTCACGTATCCGTCGCGGGCTTCGCGGCGGGCCTTGGCTTGCGCGTACGAGGCGCGCAGCAGAATCTTAATGTCGAGAGACGGCGCAAGCTCGGTCATGGATTTGGAGTAGAGGAGAAAGCCGTCAAAGAGACACAGGCGGAGGCGAGCGTCGCGCAAGGGGTGGCTCTCGGGTATAGCGGCGGAGACTTGGGCCTTGAGCTCGTTGATGAGCGCATCGGGAACAGGGCACTTGCCGACGGAGTTTTGGTCTTCGATGGAGTTGAGTGTGGGCTATATTTTCTTGTCAATCATTTTAAAAGTCATTTGAGCCCCGGTACGCACCGTACTTACGGGGATCTCGGCGTGCTGACGAATGTAGGCTACGGCCTCTGTCATGGCAGGGATGTCAATGGCCTCGGCGCAATCCCAATCTGCAACGCCATTATTGATGGGAATGCTGGGGACCTCGCGTAAATAAAACAATGTCCAAAGGGGAAAAAAAGTAAAAAAAAAAAAAAAAAAAGTTCAACAATGTGGGAAGTACAACTTCTTACTCTTTATCCGTTTTGTAAAAATCATCCTCATGCAGGATAAAGGTGTTTGGGAATATGTCTCGTAAAAGTCGTGAAAGCGTCGTCTTGCCGCTGGAGGAGCAGCCAGAGATGGCCACCACGAGAGCTTTTCGGTCCCCCATTGTTTTTTACAAGCGGCCGTGGCTCCGTGAACTCAATGATGTCGATCCCGAATTCTGGGCCTCAAAGCTATGAAGAGTTTATAGTTTGTGTTTCACGCTTCGGCCAGTGGCTGTTGACTCTAAATAGCACTGATATCAGCTAAGCTAAAAGTGGAACCAGCCGTGATGTCGTAGTAAAGAATGCGGATCCACACCTTTCATTGATGTGAAAGAGGCCCTCTATACGTTCATAGTTGCTTCACACGCAGGAGGCTCTGCTCGTGCTTCACTTCATTGTTGCTCTTTTCTCCAACTTGCCTGGTTGATGATGGCGGGGGAAGAAGACACTTTCGCGTCCCCACAAGGCAACCTTGATGACGTGGATGAGGAGCATCGGAACAGCTTCATCAAAGCACTACTCCGCATCTTGCATACAGAAATTGCAGAGCTTACTTATTCTGAGATTTTAGATGGAATTCCCACGTCTGCTTCATACTTTGACTTTTACTATCAGCAAGAAGGGCACCCGGCAATCAGCCACACAGAGCTCTGTCCAGACGTCCTTGATCGTACCCGGCAGCTTCGCGATCAGATTAACCCAACAACGCTGCATTTCTCCTCATCTGTAAGTCAAATCTATCATAATATCCAGCGTCAACTTACACGCCAGCATAGCTTCTATTATCCTTCCAAGCTACCCTACTAGGCACAAGGGGGTTCTCGCTGAGACTCATCGAGCTTCTGGCCGTGTCGTGCCACCAGATAGCAGTGCATTTATTTCAGCTACAAGAGTCCCGCCACACCCAAGAAGAATATGAAAGATGGAGAGACGAGCCCCGGGATCGAAACCGATGGGACTGGTATCGCGCGCCCACCGCGTTTTGCCACCGATCCTATCTTGCGAGTGAGCAATACCCAAATGGTATCGCGGATGTGGTAGGCTATTGGGCTGAAGCAAGAATATTTGGCGGAGTTGTTGTTTTTGACAGAGGCGAGACAGACACAGAGGCAAGTATACATCTTTCTTATCTAGACCACCAGACTATAACACTAACCCCATCCTCAGTGTAAGGAAGTGTACTTGCACTCGTCTTTAAGAAACGGACCTCAGACGCTATATCCCCCTACACCTCTACAATTCGATAACCTAATGCGATTCTTGCTTAGTGAGGCGGAGCTAGGCTACATGACGTCTAACCCTCCGCTTCCAATTCTTGCCTCCGCGGATAACCGCTGGCGCTGGGATGCCTGGGAAGCCTTTTCACGCTTTCATATATTCCGCGATAGATATGAGCAGAGGATCAAGCCTACTACTACCACTAAGCCGCGGAAGAACTGCCCGTCGGTAACGGATTGGCCTGAAATTGCAGACCAGCTCTTTCTTATCAATGCCATGTATGATCGCCAGGCAGGCAAGCCGGTGAACGAGAACGAGGTCATGGCTGCGAAAGAGCGTCTTTGCCAGATAACACCGTCTTCTCCTGTCTGGAACGATGACTGGCCACAACAGGAACCAGGGCCGGCGGGAGGACGGAAAGAGGCTTGAGGTACAGGTGGTGGAAACTCGCAAGAAGCTTCTTGACTTGCAGCCGACACACTAGCTAGCATGGCCACCTTGGCCTGAACATACTGGCATTCGACGGGCACACTTGGGTTCAGGTTAAAGGCATTTATTTACAACCATCTAGTATCTTACAGACGGTCTCTTTCGAGACACTAGCGTTGACCGTTTTCCAGGAAGGATCTAGAATTTTATAGTGGTCCCAGAGATGCCGCTCGGCGTTTCAAGTGCACCATTCTCGCCCCCCCCCCCCCCCC